AGAGAGGGCAGAGAGAAAACCATGCACTTTCCTGAGAGAAACTGAAGAAAGAGAAAAACATGTACTTCCAGGAATTCCCGTTCGACAGTAGAGGGCATGGCTGCAAACGGGTCGGGTCGGGGTCGGGTCGGGTCGAGTCGATTTATAAAAATTCTAAAATGAAATTTATCCCCTTACGTCACCTCGAAATTATCAAGCTTGAAATGAAGAATTAGGGTGTATCTCAAAAATCCATCATGAAAGGTTGTTTTGATGCTAGACAACCATCTATTTGGTCATTCCGACATCGCTATCGAGATATATGACTATGAAAAGGAAAAAATATTTCAAAGTCTTAAAAATAGGGTATCTTGCATTAAATTATCTGGCATGTCATTTTCAAGTGTTTATAGATCTATTAGATTTGAACTATTTTTTAAGTTTCAACTTTTATAATTAGAGATGAAAATATATTCTTAAGCCATCCTAAAAGAAAATTTATACCAAAATTATATTTATGATCAAATTTGGATGTGCACTTTAATTTGCTTGTTTGAGGTTGCAACCTTATACAAACCACACTCTTTAATATGTCTTCCATTTATCTTGATCTCTTTAAGATAAAGGATGGGGCTACCTCAACTTGATCATGGGGCTACCTAAGACAGTGCGATCTGGAATTTCTTTTTATCCATTAACTATCTACCTTTATAGTGTACTTCCAATTTTTGCTGGAATATACAATTTTGGTTAAACCAATTCCTATGCTACCTTTATAGTGTACTTCCAATTTTTGCTGGAAGATACAATTTTGGTTAAACCAATTCCTATGATAACCTAAAAATTTATTTCTACTACTAATCATAAAATTTAAAGTCCAAAAACTGATGATAGGTTTAACATTTTTTTAATGTTACTGGATTTATTAATAATAGGAGATTACATCAAGGAGTTACATTATTTAAAACAACCAAAGAAGGCAACAACGTACCAAATTTAGCACGCTCATCTGCCCAAGCATTGGCCTACCACATGATGGAACAAGATAATCAAAGGCTCTACCACATCTAGGATCTGAATCCAAACTGATCTCAACTCTGAAAGCACCCTTTGTTCCTTGTTACACCATTTAAAAAGCTTTAATCTTTGAAAAAGCACAATAATTTCAGCATGATTTGCAATGGCAAAACCAATGGGTCATACAAAAGTGAAGATTCCCCACCCCCCACCCAATCTCTCAATACCCCTCCTATTCCTACGAACCCAAGTTGAACTCCCGTAGAAATTGAGTTTGTACCACCCAAATACTCCAAGGTCTACTCTTAACCAAGCCCATCTTGAAAAAAATCACTAATTTAGAGTGACATCCATCTTTGAAACTCCCCACCCCTCTTTCGTAATAAATAACCAACACCACAAAGTATGTTTAACATTATCAAATGGTAAAACCTCCCCATGAAATGTTCTCCTATTAAGCTTCTTCCATAATTCCCACATAATTGCTCCTCTTGCAATCTTCCATAACACACTACCGATTTGCGGTAGCTTCTGGAAAGCCATTTGCGTAACAATCATCACAACACTCTCTGGCATTGCAAATATCATACCCAACAAAGAAAAGAATATGCTCCAAATCCTTGAGGTGAAAGAACGATGTAAACATCGATGTGGTCCAAACTCTCCATCCGCCTTACACATGAGCCAAACATTAGGCAATATTTTTATCTCTTTTAATCAAATTATCTATGGTTAGTATTTTTTTCTTGAGTCACTAGCCATATAAAGACTTAAACTTTCTAGGGGATTGGCCATTTCCATATTTGAGCAACCTGTGGCAAGGACCATCGCCACCTATCATTGAATAATAATCGATAAACAAAATTCAATTAAAATTCCCCATCACTCTCCACATCCCAAACTATTTCATCTTCCAGGCTACGAGAAATATGATCTAACTCTTTCAAAAGTACACTAAGACTAGAGATTAGTTCATCACTCACCCTATTGTAAGGTAGATTTAAATTCCAAACCACCCGGTCGCCCCGGATCGCGTATAGATCAACCACCTTGGCATTTGGTACAATCACCTTATCAAATATTTTTAGGAATGCAATCTTATGTGGTATCTCTCCTACCCACTTATGATGTCAAAATGAAATATGATTGCCATCACCAATAATCCACCTCATATTTCTATATTGCAGAGGTTTACAGAGATAAATAGCCTTCCAAAAGTTGGATCTATTTGCAGCATTTCCGATTCTACCATCAATCACATATCTTATCTATCAATACCATATTTCGCAAAAAGAACTTGATACCAAATATTATCTTTCAATTTAAAGCTACACAATAGAGCTTAATTAACCAACGAATCTTTCTAATGCTAAGCCCCCCTTCATTCTTAGGGGTACAAACTCTATCCCAACAAAGAAGATTGAACTTACGCACCTCTCCATAAGATCCCCACAAAAAAATTGACATCATTCTTTCAATTTTCTAAGCCACTGAACTTGAGATTTAAATGACCAATCTTTGATAAATGGGTAAATTAGTCAAACAATATCTAAGAAGAGTAATTATCCTACCCAAATAAAGAAATTTAGGCTTCCAAAATTCCAACTTAAATTGGACTCATTGAACCACTTTATCCCAAACCGAAACTGGAAGTCTCAAATTTGAGGTAGGAGGGCCTAAGTATGTTAGTGGGAAAGAGTCAACTTTGCAACCCAAAGAGTCTACTAAATGGTTCACAACAATAGGACTACAATTGATCCCAATCAATGAAGTTTTATCGAAATTTACTTTGAACCTCATTGCCACTTCACAATATCTTAGAAATATAGCAATGCTCTTAAGTTGAATCTCTTTTGCCTCACAAAAAATTAGTGTATTGTCGGCATATTGAAGATGTAACACACGTAGTCCCTGAAACGCCACATTAAAACCCACAAAATTACATATACTCTCTACATCAGACCAAAAGACTAAAACATTTAGTGTAGAGAGTAAAGAGAAATGACGATAAAGGATCACCTTGGCGTAACCCCCTAGAGGCACGAAAAAATCCCTTAGGACTGCCATTAATCAAAATTGAGAAATAGGCTGAGGAGATGCATCCAAAGAGCAAACTTCTCCATTTAGAATCAAAACCCATTATATTCATTACCTCCATGAGGATACTTCATTCAACCCTAGCATAAGCTTTCTCCATATCCAATTTTACAACCACTTCTAGTATTTTACTAAGCATTCTAGAATGAATACACTCTTGGGCAACCAAAACATTGTCCATAATCTATCGATCTTGAATGAATGCTGACTGGGGCCCATAAATGATTGTTGGCAACATCACCTTTAACCTTTCCGTCAAAACGTTAGCCACAATTTTATAAAGTTTAATAAGCAGGCTAATGGGCCTAATGTCAAACAAATAAGCAATAACTATTTTTTTGTGAACAATGCAATATACGTAGAGTTGATCCCCTTAAAGAATATCCCATTTCTCAAAAAACCCTTTCACCATTAACAATAATTATGCATGAATAAGTGGCTAGAATTAAAAAACAAAAATTGGGAAGCCATCCGCCCATGGAGCCTTATCACCTAGGAGCAAGAAGACTACCTTCTTCAGCTCCTCCAGGGTAACATCAACCTCTAGTTGATCCAATAAAGTGTTTGGCAACACTTTAAAATAAACTTGTTTCATACTAGGGGTATATCTAACTTCTGAAGTGAAAGCTTTCTTGAAATGGTTTACAATGTCATCTTCCCAACCATCTAGATCATCTTCATTTACACCTGGTATTGCCAAGCTCGATATTATTATGTCTTCTCCTTGCACTAGCAATGGCATGGAAGAATTTGGTATTTAGATCACCATCTTTTAACCACTTAACTCATGATGTTTATTTCCAATAAACGTCTTCTAGTCACAAAAACTCGTAGAGCATTTTTAACTTTGCATTTCTTTCCAAAACCAGCTCTACCATTAGAACTCCTGTCATCTGGACAATTTGATTAAAAGTTTTTAATTCCAAGAGAACGTCCTCTATGTTGAACTTCACTTTATATACGTTCTCCTTCTTCAATCCAATCAAATGCTGCTTAATGTTGAAGAGCTTCTTATGTAATTGGAAATCCAAAGAACCCTAAGTGATTGTATTTTCCCAAATATTTTTTATGATCTATACCACTGCTTGCTCCCTAACCACCCAATCTCCATATGAAAAGGCTTTGGCTTACCCCTAACAAAACTAGAGTTCAACATAATAGGAGTGTGATCAAAAGAAGGTCGTGGAAGAGCCTTAACAGAGGTCAGGGGGAAAGCTTCGAACCTATCACCAGAGACCAAGAACCTATCAAGCTTGGAAATTGCTAGAAGAGAAATGTTATTATTGGACCAAGTAAATTATGCCCCGAAATTGGCAAATTCAGCAGAGAATGATATTGAATAAAAGGAAAATATCTCCCCATCCCTTATTTTAAACTTCTATATCTCATGGGACCCCAGAATTAAAAATATTACTTATAAGCAAAAGGTCTCCGTCTTTTCTATCTTACAACCATTTGGATCCTTTTGACCATAAAGTTTTTACTCAAACAAACACTAAAATGACACCCTATTCAAATTCCATCTCTCTCTCTCTAAAACTCCATCTCTCTCTTCGCTTCTAGGTGAGTTTACCAACCAAAGGGTTTAACTTGAGCTCAAACATGAGCACACCTTATGTGTGAGAGAGAGATGGAGTTTTAGAAAGAGATAGA